ATGCGAGCGTGCATGGTCGACAATGAGCCCAAATGAAACTACGTGAGCGGGAGTGTGGCGTGAACATGTCATGACATTGTGCGCGATAATCGATTGTCGCATCGATAGCGGGCACGCCGACGACGACGACGACAGTCAGCAGATAGTTGAAGCCGACGACGATGGGGCCCAGGAGGCCCCCAAGCTGGCAGCAGTTTGTAGCCGTCGACGTCGCCATCGCCGCCGTCGCCGACGCCGACGTCGTCGACGCCGTCACCGTCATGCGTCTCGTCATGGTTGCCGTGGTCGTCGTATGCGTCGACACCTCGTTGCTGCCACGAGCCATTCCCAAATCAATCGTGCTCACGCCCCTTCCCCAACGTGCTCAAAACAGATAGCTGCACACTGCATTGGAGGAGGAGGAGGGGGGCAGGTTGCCTCCGCGCATCGCGCGCGGACACATGCTGAGCACGCTGCAGCAGGCTCTCGAAGAGGCGTGGGGAGTGGTCCGCAAGCCCATTGCGCGCGCTGCACATCACTTAACTGGTTTGCTCCTGGACCCGACCCCCCCAGGACCCCCTGGACGTGATGGGCCTCGAGGCCCCAGGACCCATGGGACCATGCATGACTCGGAGTGGGCCTCTGCACGTGCGGGGCCAGATGGCCCCCTATTAGAATTCATACGGGTCCAGGGCACGCTGCCCTCTGGACCTCTGGGCGCACGCGGGCGCCCGCGCGCCAAGCTGCGCGCGAGATGCGCGCGGGCTGCGTGCGAGTGCGGGGCCGCTCGCACCGAGCGGCGCGCGAGCCGCTCACGCCGAGCAGCAAGTCGCCCAAATCGTCGGCTCATACTGTATGCCAACCCTGATACGAGCGGCTCGCGATACCTGAGTATGCCACTCGCGCTGGGCCGTGGGCGTACGATCTGCGAACGATACGGATACGTCCGACGTGCGCGAGCCCCGAAGCTGGCCCAACCGATCGCGACCGAATCGGCCGAACGTTCGACGATCATTCGAACTGGACCGACGTCGCGATGATGATCATCACGTTGGGGCGTTGCCCACTGGGCAACGCCCCAACACCTCATCACCCAACTCCTTAGACCAATCGCACGAGCTCGATCATCGATCTTATGTGCGCCCACAGCCCAATGCGACGTGAACAACTCAAGGTGTACGCGTGTCCGCCCGTCGACCTGTGGCGTGCATTGCGCACGCAGCTGTGCACGAAGGCGCTCACGTTGCGCACCTCGGCGCCGTCGGCCTGCTGCTTCAGCGCATTCGGGATGACCTGGTTGGCCTCCCGCTTGCCTTCGTCGCCGAGCTGCGCCAGCAGGAGCAGCTCCATGCGAGAGGTGTCGTCAACACCAGCACGGCGCAGGACCGTCGACCAGGCGCGCGGGTCGAACTCGAAGATCTCCCACGGCTCGGGCGGCACGTCCTTCGGGCGACCCTCATCATGCTCCTCCTCCTCATCATCATCGTCATCCTCCTCCTCCTCCTCCTCCTTCTCCTCCTCCTCCTCCCTGTTTAAGGCGTCCGAGAGTTGAGCATGTCGGTTGGCGTTCACCCGAGTGCCTCTCGGAGCCCTGCGGGCGAACAGCCAAGAGAGCCCAAGGGGCTACCAGTTTAACGCGTCAGGGATTTGGACACTGCCCTGGGGCTCTTATCCTCATCATCCACCTCCTCATCCTCCTCATCATCATCGTCATCATCCTCCTCGCACACCACCACCCTTCCCTTCATTATATCATACCTCATCCATCGTCCTGTCCTCTCCGTTTTCCTGGCCCCCCCCCCTCGCGACCTGGGGGGGGGGTTCTTGTTCTCTCGAAGGCCCAGTGCCACTGGGCCGCCATGATGCACCGCAAGTCGCCACCCGCGAGCTCCCCCGCGAGTGCCTAGCACTGTCTGCTGGGGGAGCTCGCAGATGCATACTTGCGAGGCTGTGCGCCAGTTGCGTGCGACGGCCCACGATGGCTCCAATGCAGACTAACTATTGCCTAACCCCACCCCCCACCCCCTTCCCTCCCCCACCCCGTGAGGTAGCACCCTGTTCCCCTAGGTGGAGGTGCATTGGCATTTGACGGTTAGTAGCCGCGCCTGCGGTGGTCCTGCCAGCGGCGCCGCCGCCGCTTGCGGCGCCTGCATGCAGGGCGAGGCCGTCGGCGGCACCACCTTCGGCACCGCGATCGACGGCGGCGGCGCCGCGGGCGCCGCGGGTGGCGGCGCGGTCTGCTGGGCCTGCAGCGCCAGCACCACGGCCTGCAAGGCGCTCGTCACGACGTCCGTCGGCGTGGCAGCCGATGTGGCCGCGGCAGCCGCTGCGCCGCCCTTGAGGTAGGCTGGCGGCGCCGTGGCTGGCGGTGTCGGCCCAGTCTTGGCCACCGCCTCGGCCTTGGGCCTCTTCTTCGGCTGCGCCTCCACGACCTCGTCGTCGTCGTCGGCCCTCCGCGGTGGCGTCGTGGGGCGACGCGCGCCCGTGGGCGACGGCCTCGGAGCGCGCTGCATGTCGCCGAGGTCGGCGGCGCCTGCAGGCGGAGCGCCAGCCAGCAGCACCCAGTTGCCGTTCTCCGTCTCATGGTGCTTGTTGATGCCCGCCATCATCGACCACATCTCGTCGTAGTTCTGCTGGCTCTCGATCCTCTGCGACACCACGTCGAACGCGTAACCGCGATCGAGAGGATCGGCGATCATGGCCCACGGCTTCGTGGCCCACTGCTTCGCCTGCGCGATGACCCTCTGGTGCTCAGAGGTCTTGAGGTTGAACATGTGAAAGCACTCCACGTTGAACACCCTGCTGCTGTCGCCGTTGCGCACGTAGTTCAAGCACTCCTTGGTGGCCCTCCCCAACGTGTTGCTGCGATGACAGCCCTTGGAGCAATTGATCAAGACCACGACGCCCTTGATGCCGGGCTCGAGAATCAGCTGCTCCGCGGCCGCGAAGACGCCGTACACGACCTCCTTCACGGCGCGCATGAATGTGTTCTGGCCGAACACGCTCAAGATGGTCTTCGGCGAGGAGCCATCCTGGTCGTGCGACACTCCGTCCAACCCAGGATCTCGCATGACCTGCCCCAGGTCCACCTTGAACGACACGATGTCGGACTCCTCGACGATCCGCGACGCCCAGACCGACTTGCCGTGGTGCACCTCACCGTATGTGAGGATGGCAACTGGCACAGGGATCGCGTGCTCGCGCACGTAGGCCGCAAGCTCCTGCGCGTGCTCGTCCATGGCGCGCGATGGGGGAGCGCAGCACGACGGCGCGCTGGAGCGTCGGGCCCGTGGGGCGCGTGCGCGCTGGAGCCCCGGGCGGTGCTCAAAGGCTCGAGATAGCCAAAACGGCAATGGCGATGACAACGATGATGGACGTTACTTTGCCCATAATTTCTGTACTGATCAGAGCAACGGTTGATGATGGTGACTCATGGCAATGACGATGGTCATACATAGACATATACATACATATACGGGGCGTCATGAAGTCGCTGGTGGGGGCTGAAGCAAGGGCGTCGGCAGGCATGTGTCGACCATCGTTCGTATGAGATCCTCAGCGTGGGTGTCAGAAGCGATGGCGATGATGATGATAATGGGGGTCGCATCGGTCAGTCGGCCATTGGTGGTCGACAATTGGCATGCTAACGAACCAATGCTGCATGTGATAACAATGTCCTGAATGTGCCGCGATGGCCGAGTAGTAGCGTGGGTGTACATACGCAGAGCGCACAATGTGTCACATGGGCGATGATGACGATATGTTTAGGGGGGCATGCGCGCGGTAGAAGGATGCGGATGATGGGCACGACTACGATTGACGAGTTGTGTATCCTATCATGTTAAGTGTTGTTGCACGGCGCTCCTCAACACGACCACCGAGCCCGCAGTGATTGGCGAGATGACGCAACATCTCCGCCCACGAAGCGGATGCTCAACTCCCAACGCATGCGCTCTACACACGACTGAGAATGCAAAACAACCCCGCGTCGCACGCTCTACACAGGCACCGTGCTACCGTGCATCAGTCACGAGCTCTTACTCGATCGTCCTCCTCCTCACTAGCCGTCCCCGCGCCCTCCGCGCAAGAATGAGCCTCGGCGACGCCATCGCCGACCTGCCAGGACTGAGCCTTCTCCGCCGCGACCTCGACAGAGTTGCCGTGAATGTCCAGCCTGAAGTACTTGCTGGCCTTGGCGCCGTCGTCGCTCTCCTTACAAACCCGAATGCAAGCCCGACCGTTCTTGTTGGTGACCCACATGTGCATGAGACCCAAGTTCGCGATCGGGGACTCCTGTTTGCGCTGCTTCGCGTTGTCGAAGGCATCGAACTGGGCCCGCATCACCCTCGACAAGTACGCGAGCGCCGACGAGTTGCACTCGACCAGAATATCAGGCACCCCAGGCTTGTTCAGGACGACCTTGATGCTGCGGGACGGCTCGTCGCCCATCGCAGGCAACGTGACCTCCTTGAACGTATCTTCGGCCACAAGCAAGCGCGACAGCGCTTCCCTGGTCCAGCGCTTGTTCCTCACCTTGCACTCCGAATAGACGGCGTCGTCCTTGAGCTTGCGTATGTCGTTGATCAGCGTAGTCCGATTCGACGGCCTGTCGCGCTGCTTGCTCCTGAGCCCATGCAGGAACAGCTTGTCGGCGAGCCTGTTTGAACTTAAGCTGAAGAACTGCTCGCCGCCAACTTCGTAGATGCGGATGTGCACGCTCACGCCGCCAGGGCCGATGACTTCAAAAGCTGGCTTGAGTTCGAAAGCCATGCTTGACCAAGTGAGCCACGCTGGCAACTGCATCGATTAGTGATGAAAGTGTGACGTGCTATGGTAGCGACAGCGATTGACGCGATAAGGGTCGACGAGTGTATAATCGGCCGAACTACACATCAAGCTCTAAAGCGTGTCGCGTTCATATGGCGCTTGGGGCTCGCCCACAATTGGAGCTCCCCACCCGCCCAATCCTGATAGCCGCGTGTGCACGCTGAGCGACGCACGCATGCGAATGCCCAGCGGTCTCACGCAGACTTGCGAGCCCGCTTCGATTGAAGAACGGGCTCAGATATCTTCGCCTTTTTTGTAGTGGCAACCGCCTCCAAGTTAAGCACGAGCTCCTCGTGCTCGGCAACTTTCTTGAAGTTCGTGGCGCACGGGATGGTGATGTCGATCGTTGGGCCCGTCATCTTCTCGCCGACCACGGGGCGCTTCGCGTTCGCCGTAAGCATGGTGAGCTTGCAGTTGCACTTGGCCCTGTCAGACTCCACGCTGAGGCACCAGTACTGGCTAACGAACTCATCGGCCGGCGGCGACGGCATGATGAACATCTTCGGGGCGCCGTCCACGGGGGCGCTGACCTCGAGAGCCCTGGGCGGGCACGCCGCGACGTCCTTCGTCTGCGGCACAACGGACCGAGTACCAGGCGCTGCGACGTAGCATCCAATGCCGAGCTCCTTCGTGGCAAGCACTGCCCTTACAGGTTTCTTCATGGGCCTGGCGTGCTGCACCCCGTGTTTGCGATGCAGCGCATTAAGCGCGGCAAAGATCATGCTTTTGAGCTCGAAAGTGATGCAGTCCTTGTCGTTGACAGCATCGCAGTGGGGATAGTTGGCCATGAACTCCCTAGCCTTGCAAGTCTGGAACAGCTCTTCGACTTCCTGCAATGGTTTGGATGTAATGCTATCGCCGTCAAGCGTGCCGTCAAATTTCAAATTCTTGAAAGTAACAGTACCATTGCCACTGACATCCGTTGTCTTCCAAATATCCACGATTGCCAGCGGCGTGCCCTCGGATGGCTTTCGGAGTCTGAAGTGCGCGCCGACAACGATGTCCTTGTTGAGCGCAGTGGTCTGGCCCAAGCCCGAAGCCTCGCCACCGTCGGTATACTGCACGAAATTTGCCGCCAAAGCTGACGAGGCGGCACCATCTTCTGATGGATGCGTCGGGCCATCACCTGGGTTGCCGTCCAACTTGGCGATGAACTCCTCAAGGATCGCCACCAACCCCTTCTTCCCCGTGGCGTCCTTGCCCTTGCCATCGGAGCCCGTGCCCTTGATCTTCGCCTTGTCCTGTTTGTCCATCAGGAAGTCCACGACGTCGATCATGAGCTGGCCCTTCAACGACTCTTTCACTGACGGGTCCAACTCCACTTCCTCGAGCATGGCCTTCGCGCGCATCAGGGCGCCGTTCGCCTGCGTCACCGCCTGGCGTTTGTCGGGCTTTGAGAGCATGGCCAAGTCGGGCTTGGTGACATACCCTGCGAACCCGTCCCTCACGCAGTCCTCCGCCGCGGCGTGCCGAAACAGGACGGCATTCACCACGTGCGCTGGCGTGCAGCCGGTGGGGAACTTGAGCTCCGCTAGCTGCTTGAAGAACAAGCCTGGCACCACGCGGTCGGAAGGCACGTAGTGGTTGAGCAGGGGCGCTAGCTCCTTGATCAAACCACCGCTGGGCATGCCGCCCCACTTGATGATGTAGTCTACCATGTCTGGCATGTCCATTGCTCTCGGAGGCTGTGACTTCAACACCTTCTTGGCGACGGCCTTCCAGTCGGGCTGCGCGCCCATGGAGGACGCCGCGTCAATGATGCTCAACAGGTTCTGGAACCAGGTCTCGCCTGAACCGCTCCCCGCCTATATGATGCGCCCGCCGCTGCCGCGACAACAACAACCGATGCCGCAATTGACTGTCGCTGCACACAAACCACGAAACACGCCGACGACGACTATCGCGCTAACGAAAGGGGGCTGAACGGATACTATGAAACAAATAATGAAGAGGGAGGAGGACATCGGAGGAAAGAAGAAAGGGGGACAACCTTCGGACGTCTGCTGCACCGTGTTAAGAGCGTCGCCGACGATTTTGGCAACCATGGGCAACGCCGCGTGGACGACCCACTTCACGACGGTAAACTTGACACCGTTGGCGATCGCGTCCCTGAGTAGACCCCTCTTGTCTCGGTTGCACACGACGTCGAGGTCCATGTAGCCGTCCTTCGTCAAGCTCTCGTACTCGCTCTTGACGCGGTCGTGGACGCAAGCAAACCCGTGAAGACCATGCGTTGCCCCCCACGCCCCAATTCGAATCTCGTCCTCCTGGTACTTTGCGAAACACGGGTGCTTGGTACACTGCTTCACCGTGTACTTTGCGTACTCCTTGGTGTAGGGGTTGTCTTCGCCAGCCACGGCATCCAAAGAGAAACCTGACGTCTTGATGACCTGCGCGCGCCCTTGCGCGCGACGCCACTGGACGCTTTCGCCTCCGCGGTTGCTCTCCATGGCGCCCACCTGCTTGCAGTGGAACACCTGCTGGTACGAATGCTGGTATTTGTGGCACACCGCGAGGATGCGGTCCTTCAGCTCCACGTTGCCTGCTGACTCTTTGCTCTCGGCGTCGTACTCGTCGCACAACATTTTGAGTTCTCTGTAGCATGCCGTGGCCTTAAACTGTTGAACGTCTGCCGCTCCAGAGTGCATGACTGAAAACAAGCTGGATAGATATGCGAACGCACAAATCACGATATACGATCGCCGCTACCAGAGAAACTGAACCACACCAAAGCCAAAACAAGCTACGGAACGTGAGCAGATAGTCGGATGGCGCTCAAGACAATCGACGATGTCCCATACAACTTCAGACTCACGATGTCGGAAGGCAGCGGTCAACGATGCATGGCTGATGGCAAGAATGCGACTACCGATGTCAAACACAAGTTCACGCACATGTGCGACAATCGCAAACGCTAAATGTGTGCATGCACGTGTGTACGTATGGTGCGATACAGATCGAACTACAACTGTTGTACATGTGTGTGGGTACTATGTGTTGGTATGTACGGTGTACACGTTACATACAGTTATAACTGGATTATGTTGGTGACGATGTAAGTCCTTTATAACCTCATACCTCTACATATTTAGTTACTAACTCCTCCGAAGGTTAGTAAACCTTACGGCCGAGTTAGATATGTTATGGCAGCGTTACTACTGGGTTGCGAGAGGGTTGGCTGGAGTTATAACAAGCCTACAACCCAGCCAACAACAAGTGGGAGCGTGCCGGGAGCGTGCCGGGAGCGTGCCGGGAGCGCCTGGGAGCGCCCGGGAGCGTGCCGGGAGCGCCCGGGAGCGCCTGGGAGCGCTTGGGAACGCTTGGGAGCGTGCCGGGAGCGTGCCGGGAGCGCCTGGGAGCCCCTGCCTGGGAGCGCTTCGGGGCGCCTGGGAGCGTGCCAGGAGCGCCTGCGAGCGCCTGGGAGCGTGCCGGGAGCGCCTGCGAGCGCCTGGGAGCGTGCCGGCGCGCTGTGCCGGAGCCGCTTCCGCTCGCGCCGGCTCGCTCGGAGCGTCGGATATGGTTGGCGCGCCCATCGGGCGCTCGCGCAAGCTTGCGCCGGGCTCGCTTACATCGTTCGGCATGGTATCGTTTCCTTGTCTTTCGCAATGGCACCATTCGAGCTTGCTCAATACGTGGTGTTTTTTCGACTTGAGGGTTTAGGGTTTAGGGGTTACACAACGTATTAGCGTCTGCGGACCTCGCAGCGATTTCAATTGGCCCCCGCTATCGCCGAGAGCGCTTCCGCGCGCGCCCGCTCGAAGATCGCGCCCCCTCCCGCGCGGCGGCTGTCTCCCACAGACGCCCCAGCAGCGCCCGTTGCGCGCCTTTCGCGCGTGCCTGGAGCGCTTGGGAGCGCTTGGGGGCGCCTGGGAGCACCTGGGAGCGCCTGGGGACGTCCCAGGAGCGCTTGGGTGCGCCTGGGAGCGCTTGTGAGCGACTGGGAGCGCTTGGGATCGCCTGGGAGCGTGCCGGGAGCGCCTGCGAGCGCCTGGGAGCGTGCCGGGAGCGCTTGGGTGCGCCTGGGAGCGCTTGCGAGCGCCTGGGAGCGCCTGGGAGCGTCTGGGATCACTTGGGAGCGTGCCGGGAGCGCCTGAGAGCGCCTGCGAGCGCCTGGGAGCGCTTGGGAGCGCCTGGAAGCGCCTGGGAGCGCTTGGGAGCGCACGGAGGCGCCCGGCAGCACGGGATGCTTGTCGGGCCGCTCCGGAGTTGCTTCCGCTCGCGCCAGCTCGCACGGAATGCTTGTCGCGCCGTTCCGGAGCCGCTTCCGCTCGCGCCGGCTCGCTCGGAGCGTCGGATACCCAGATGCTCCGCGCACCAAAAAGATGGGGCGCAGAAGCCAAAGATGGGGCGCGACCCATCTCCCGGCGCCGGACACGAAGATGGGTCGCGACCCATCTTCATTACCGAGATGGTCGCGACCCATTCTCGATGCGGCCGCGACCCATTTTCGGATGGCAGTCGCGACCCTTTTCTAAAGATAAAATCGCGTATCTGCGCCCCATGTTTGCGCGCACCACTAGAACTTCAGAAAAACGTCAGGCTGACGTTTCTCTGATTTTTTTCTGAAGTTTAACGTTGTCGACCGCTACAAACCTCAAACCACACACCTACACAACGCAAATGTCTTCGTGAACTCAATATGGTGGTTATGGTGATGATGATGTCGATGATGCATATTCATGAGCGTGTTGATGGTGATGACGATGGAAACGAAGACGATGGTGATGGTGATGATGAAGAATGTGATGAATGATGATGATGATGATGACGATGATGATGCTGATGAGGATGATGATGGGGATGATGATGATGATGATGGTGCTGATGCGGATGATGGTGATGATGATGATGACAATATTGATGATGATGGTGATGATGCTGATGATGATGATGATGGTGATGATGACGATGGTGACGATCATGTCGCCCTCTTCCTTTTTTTTCCTCCTCTGCTTCCTCATCACATCCTCCGCGCTCTCCCTCATCCTCCCCCCTCCCTCCCTCGTTCTACACACCCTCCCTCAATTATATTCATCCACCGTTCCCTTCATCCACCGTCACTCCGCCCCAAGATTTCATTGTGCGTTCCCAACCTTCTGCTATCCGTCCTCATTGCGTCCTCATTCCGTCATCGCCCATATCTCCCCAATCAATCATTCGTAGCCCCTCTTCCTCCGAGCTCCTCTTTTTAAGACCTTTTTTGGCTCAAGCGTCATGGCTCAGGCGTCGTGCCTGGTCCTGCGATACGGGGTCCGCGGACCCCCTGGCCTCGGCGAGCCATGCATGGTATGTCGTGGAGGTCGGGGACGTGCCTCCCGACCTTCCCCTGGGCCGCGGCTCGCCCAAGAAGCCGCGCAGGTACTGGATCGAGGGCCTTCTGGCTCGAGCCAGTCCCTGCCCTTGGCCAGGCTGCCCCGACACCATCGTGGTGCTCCCTGGCGCGCCTCGGGCGGGTGGGCCATGGCCCTCCGCCTGGTGCGCGGATGGCGGCTGGGCCCCAGGGTAACCTGGGCGCCTCACCATCGCGCCCGTGGCCCACAGGCCACGCCCGTGCTCTGGTCTGCGCATGACCTGGTGCGACAACCAAAACCCCTTCCCTCCCCCCCCCTCCCTCCCCCTCCCTCCCCCTCCCCCCCCTCTCTCTCCCCTCTCTCCCCCCTCCCTCCCCATTCCCCTTCCCTCCCCCTCCCTCCTCATTCCCCTCCCCCCCCCCTCCCTCCCCTCCCCCTCCCCCTCCCAATCCCCCCCCCTTCCCTGCCTTAATCCTGCTGTCCATCATTGTCATTCCGCCCATCGATCATCTTCCCCACTCTGTTCTCAAGCATTTGGGCTCGAGCTTCGGCCCCACGCAATTTTGTTTCTATTTTTATTTGTGTATGTCACGTGTTCCCCGTCGTGTCCCTGTGGCCGAGATCGACCCAATGCAGTTGGGCAACGAATTCAAGAAACACGCACTGGCCCAGGGATGCAAAAAACGCATTCGCACTCCATTCTTGCAACTTCTTAACTAAACCTCGGGCGGTATGCGCCAGATCGCTCCACAACATGTTCGCGTTGGTGGGCATTCTGAAAATGCTTTATTACACCATCCCACCGTCCCTGCTCCGCTCCCCTCCTCGTTCGTCCGTTCCACCGCTTCCCAATGTACTCCGTCCTTTCCGTTCCCTCGTCCCCGTTCCTCCCGTCGCGCACTCATCCGCCACCTCCCCAGGTAGATCTGCTCCTGAAAAACATTCCGAACGCCGAGTGCAAATGGAGCTGTCTGCGAGGCGCGTGCCTCGTGGTCATCGACAAGCACCCCCGTGCACTAATAAGCATGAGGAGGCGGATGGGGAGGAGGAGGAGGGAGGATGAACATGACGAGGATGAATGAGGAGGAGGAGGAGTGAGATGAGGTGGATAGGGGAGAATGCATGGGACTGAGGGGTGTGGGAGAAGATGGGGATGGCGGGGGCAAGGACGTGTATACGTGTGAGGTTGTACCTATGCCGATATCGAGAACGTGTATATGGCATGATCCGGAATCATGTTTGGCGTTTAGAAAACATAAGTGATAACACCTGTGTATGGCGTTTATCTGAAGTTTATATGACGTAGTCTGGAAACTTGTTTGGCGTTTTACTGAAGTTTGATATATATATATACACATACATACCAACGTTCACCAATAATGGCAGTACATGAATCAAAGTTCAAGACACCCGCATGCAACCTCCAGGGTAGCATCGCATAAACTTCAGACAAACGTCAGACAAACGTCATACAAACGTCAGACAAACTTCATACAAACGTCAGACAAACTTCATACAAACGTCAGAAAAACGTCAGACATGATTCAGGGCCGTGTCATGCACACGTTCTCGATATCGCGTTACGCACGATATCATATAGTTCTACATCTAGTTTCCTGACATTCCTCTCATTTCTATACAAGTGTGTCCCTCCCTCTCCACATCAGGTATCCCAAGTGCTGCAAAGAGGACGCGTCGGCGCCATCGTTGTTTCGCGCTGGTTCACTGGCCGAGAAGTTGATGGTCAGCAGGGCCACTCAAACTATGAGTTCGACAAACCAACGCGTCGCCTGATCTGACCGTGGCCCCACAGCCACGGTTGGATCAGACGACGTGCCAGTTTGCTGAAATTGTAGTTTGAGCCACAGGTGATCCTGAAACATCTGCGGCGCATCAGGGACAACTGTATCAGATTGCGCCAGGCCCGTGGCGTACGGGAGGGGGGATGGGTGAATGGCGAGGTGGGCAGGATGGAGGAATGGGATTGATAGGAGGACGAGGTGTGGTGGGGACGTTAGGGTAGCGTTGTGGGGCGGAAGTGTAGGAAACGGTGGGTAACGACGTGGAGTACATTTGATGATTGAGGATGAGAGTTGTAGTCGTCGTTGTCGTCGTTGCCGTCGTTAGTGCCACCGTCGCCACCGATGTCGTCGCCGCGGTCGGTGTCGCCGTCGCCGCCGTCGTCGACGACGGCGGTGACGCATCTCGCCGTCTCGTCGCCATCGCCGCCGCGCGGCGCAGAGGCGGTCAAGGACTGCGCGCCCGCTGAGAAAGATAGCATCAACCACTTCCTCTTCGCCATGGGCCGCCCTGCTGTGCCCATCGGCGAGGACTCGTGCGATTTAGCAGTGATGACG